TTTTTTTGTGATTCTCTTAACCCATAGCGCATAACTGCTGTAATCTAGTCATAAAAGACGAAGATCGGCTGTGTGAAACTATCTTCACTCTGAGTTTGCCTCTGCAACAATACTGAGTCGGGTGGGCGTTTGTCTTCACATCATACCTTACATCAAATGTTTTTACCATAGATCACACGTGCTCTGAATAAAACAATACAGCTTAGTCAGGCATTGTCAAGTAAGCTAATAGTTTCATTCATAGGAATTGAAAGTCTAGACGATCAGAGTCTTAGGAGTCCTTCGAAAATTCGAAATATTAGTATGCAGAACATTGAAAATTTCAGCTCTCGATATTCTGCATGCTAATACTAGATTGGTGTTAGGTTATTAGATAGGAACCAATATTAGGTGATTTCAGGCCCGAACGAGTTTCGAATGTTACCTAATTGAAAATATCCGGTAGAGTGCCGGATCGTAGACAAACAATTGAACGATATTTGTCGTATGCCTCTGGCGAGTTGTAAAACTTGCGAAAATCCCATCACAACTAACTCGCGACCTGACAACTCACATGGACAATGACGAGGGAAAACTTGTGGAGCTGCTGTTAGTCGCCTGATGATCACAGCTCCATCGCGAGTAAATGCAAGACTGTTTGCGCCGCAAGGTGCTCTTAAAAAGTTGTAACAAACCCCAGTCGATTAAAAAGTTCCGTTGATGAATTTTGAATCTCGCTAAATTTATTCAAAATGTCTGAGCCTAATAGAAAGCTTGGTGGTGGATCTGAAACATTTCGATCTTCCGAGATAAGCGTTTCGTTCCATACAATGTTGTGTTGTGTTATAATATTTTTCTAATACATGTAAATTCATGACTATTAATAAGGGAAAATTATTTAGCCTTAACACCTTGAAAGGAACTAGAAAAGTTTAACGTAAAAATGTACGCAGAGAGAAAATTCAATATACTGTTCCTTGAATTGAAGCTTAGATTTGTGTTGAACTATATTCTAAGGTAATGTCGAGACTTAAATTCATAATAAATCAAGAGTAAGCAAGCTTCTCTTAATTTATTTAATCTTCTCATTTCTAATTTAAGCGATTGTGCACACTCGAAGAGTAAAACAAGTCGTACGTCCATCTGCATTTCATTTCGGACTTGCCACGTATGAGAAGAATCCGGTGTTTTGATAAACACCGGATTCTTCCCATATAAACACCTGAAAGCTCCCTGCTAATATTCAAAGCATTTTCTCTGCATAATAAGAGCATCGTTTGATTCATCTCTATAATTAGAAATGTTTTCACAGCATATCAGGCTTTCTATACACTTTACCCTGCAATAAGTCTATCTATGTCTATGTTCATATACGAAATAAATATAAAGTTCGCGCATCTATGTACGACGAGCTTTTGCTGAAATAAATCTCCAGGACTCGGGAACGCTTGATTTAAGTTCATTTTCGGCGAATTTAAAAGGTAACTGCCAAGAACGCCAAGCTTGCCTTTTTCCAGGACCGCGATCTCCAAGGTATCGTTGACAAAATGTTCGATAATGGCCAAACATTGTGTAAAAATTACACTGAAGAGAGCAAACGTTTCTGTATTTAAGTGTGAAAAGGCATTGAACGACAAAGTTTGCGTTCAAGTAGATCGAAACTCATCTATCAGTGACAGCGTTCGATCGGCGATCGCGGATAGCGGCGCTCGCGTGGCTGGGATTTACCAACCGCTAGGGACTTCTATTCCCAGTGGACTGGTTTTTCGTGCCCGATATATTTTGAGTGGACGCCTTAGAACTCTTTAAAATAGAAAGCTTGAACACTGACTAATGATCTACTTAGGCGTACAGAACCGAGTCGATCCGTCGCCCGAAGGGCTACTAGAACAAGGGTTCACGACTTATTACAAATGGAGAGATTCAGAATTTAATACTGTCATCACCCTTGTGAGAGATAATAATCTTGTAACAGCTTTCCTATTGCGAGCTTCCGATCTTATTTCATTTGCACATACACACGTTGAAGATTCTCAAAACTGCTTGGGTATACGGAGCATACTTGACAATGGTAGAAGCCTTGATAAGCTAAAGATTCAATTGGTGCGTCTGCAGGCCGAAAACCAGAAATCTATCGAGAGGCTTTATAGCAAAATAGCACAAGAAGAACCGCTAGACGAGGCGATTGAAGCCCAGAGGGACATAAAGGAGATCTATGCCTATAGCTCGGCAAGCCACTTAAATATTGTTAGAAGATTAAGAGGTTTGTATGCACAGGTTTTGTAAGATGACAGGCTCAACGTCCTAAACTAGACGCGCACCTGACGCTTACTTGCTTTCGCGAAACATATTAAAGTAGTTAAAGTTACTCAGCACCTAATTCACTTTGGCACGCTGATGATGACTTTGTTAGTTGACTTACACAATATTATGACTGATTCTCGTTGAATTATAGATAGTACGTGGCAATTAGAGAATTGTTAAAGCGTAAGAACTTCAAAAGTATAGATGACGGTCTCAATGAGCTCCTAATCGAATCCCATGATATTGTGCGTAGACAATTAGATTAGCGCTGAAAGAGGCCAACGGTCTGAGCGGCAGTCTGAGCTTAACGGCAGGACCAAATATGGACTCAAAACATTTTTGCATATTGCTAATCAAAAATCTCAAATATTCCCTTGTCAAAAGGGCCAGGTCATTTAAGTAATGCCTTTTTAACCTTTTATTAACGCTTATCTGCTACAGCGGCGTCTGGCTAGTTTTTGAATCATCAGTAGATGTCCGCGAAGGCGCGCCTCGAATATACAAATTCCTGTTTGGCTTGCCTGTATAAATTGTCCCTATTTGATGTCATGTTTAATAACGACATCAGCCGTACTAGCGGAGAAATTAATCGCTGCCGTCTTGGTCACTTCCTGGAGAGCCGGTGGCATGGCAAGAGATGAATATTGCCTGGGAGGGGACAGGCCGCACACTTGTTGGCCTAGCTGGCCCAATACATGAACGTATTCCGTTCTTATAAAATTGCACCGCTTGGAGACCGTTCGTACATCGAAGAAACAACGCGAACTTTTTTTAGCTTAAAGAAGTGTTACCAGTGTATAAAAAAGCGACCTTCAGCAAAAGGCCAATGACCAATTTAACGAAGACAAGATTGCTTTCCGCTATTTTTTTGTATCCGATAGATCGACAGAAATCGGTTTACCCCACAAAGCATTCTATGACGCAATTGGAGATGCTGACGACGGTAATGCCCTTTTCATTTTATTTGATCGCAACGCTGAAGCCAAATGAACTTCAGCGCTTAATTGCGCGCTTGTGAACCTTAAATATACAATCTTCAACCTTCGATTGGTCGGTAGTGACGATAACTTGGCTTCTATAAAACGACGAGTTGCGAAGACCCGTCTGTGTTGGACATTATAGAGCTTGAAGATAATCGTCTGGAAATTCGTTTGTAGTACGTTGACATGACCTTCCGCTTACTGAAGTGCTTTTCCACCATAATCATGGTCGAGTGTAAGTCCGCCGGTGACTGTTAATACAGAGTACTATGCATTTTCCCTAGGTGGGGAATACTGGAGTTTAATAAAATCGAGGTCGCGCTAGTTAAATTCATTCAGGTGTGAAGAGACCAATCAGCGGTGGATCGTAAAGTAAAATATGGCCACTTCGGCGATAGCTCACGTGTAAACACACAGTTGTACGCTAAACTGTCAGAGAATGTACATAGTCTCACTTGAGTTATCATAAGTGTTAGGTTGGGTCCTTGTGATAGCGGAGTGAGTAACGTGTTTACCTGCTGAAGTCAAAAGAGCGTGGTGGTGCAAGCTTTAAACTGGCCGTAGAAGGACTCTACTCCGTACTGGGAGCCAACTGTAAGTTGGGAGCTGTGCTTGAGGGCTTTGGTATCGAACGTAAAGTACGAAAAGCATTCTCTAACTATGAGCTCAAGTTGAAATGGGCAAAGTTTTTTACGAGTAATAACTATAATATATATAATATATCGTATATATATAATATCGTATATATATAATATACGAGTAATAACCATCTTAAACATTGAACATTTTAATGACTACCGTTTATTGGCATGATCGAGTTATTATTATTGTTGTTTTACAAATACATGCAATCGATTATGGCATTTTTTCCTGAAAACAAAGTTTTTTTTTTTTTTTTTATATAAACCGTACAGAGAAACGGATGAAGTTAAATAAAACACAATCTAATTAACTTCAGAATTCGATTTATTCGACTCATTAGTAATGCGCTTCCAATTCCAGTAAAGATCTTTATTATTCAGAGCAATAGTGGTCGATATAAGCGAAAAACTTATAAATTTCTCAATGTAAGGACCCCTAAGACAGTGTGTTAATGCCAAAATATATACTCCCAAAGATTTTGTCAACTGTAAAAATAGCTCTATATACCAATCGATAATAATAGCTTTATTTGTGCAGAATTTTCTAGAAACACTTAACTCCTTTTGCGTAACGATCCTGACGTTCTGGTTTAGGAAGAATTTTAGAATTATTATTATCCAGTTGACGCGTTGTATAATTTCGCTGTATTTACCTAGATTGTAATATGACAATATACAGGGTCCACAAGGAAGTTTTGAAGTTACAGAAATTAGTTTAACTAAGGAGGAGTTTTGGGGACATTTTCGAAAGGTGCAGCGGACGAATATGTACGACACTTTTAACTTTGAAACGAGCTGAACCTTAAGGACGAAACATTTCTCATGTCTAGTATGACCGGACACTCTCAGGTATTTACCGAACCTGGATAAATCTCCAGAGTTTTACGTCTGGTACTGCCGCCCAGCATTGCTTCGAATTTACCTATTAAACATACCTTTTTTTGGACAGTTTAGGAAGTCCATGTGGATATTTTTAGTTCCCTATCTAAATTACAAAATTATCGAACCGAATGGAATGAGCTGCACAAAATAAGTTGGTCGGAGTCAGCCGTACCCAAAAACCTAGGCACCAAAAAGCAATACGAAAAGACGAAGCTCGACTTTATCTAGTAATTTTATTATAGAATATTTTTCGTCCTTTTTTTCATAAATAATGTTTCATTACAACCACCATCAGTCTTCAACATCGTTATTATTATTATTATTATTAATGTTATTATTATTATTATTATTATACTGAATATTAACGTCAGCTCGACTCGTTCTCATCTCATAGGTTTTTTGTCAGTCAACCACATTCGATACTTCATTGTCCTTATCTTTGTGCTGGCACAATTCGGATTCAACCCCCACACTATATTATCAACTTAGCGTTCAAAGAAGGGGGGTATCCGTCTTGATCTCATTTCTTCTTTACTATGCAATTGTATTTTGTTGTGCCTCGCTGTTTGTAACGGCACCGTTATTCAGGTTCATCGCAATATAATATTTTGACGGTAACAGGTCAACATCTACTTAGCCCTCATGTTTATCGTCATACTAATAAAATATATATACACACGAAGACAAACGGTACCGACTGATCACTTCAATTTTTTGCTCCTCGGCCAATTGCTTTTGTATGTTGTCCGCCGATTGAATCGTGTTTTGAACGCTCTTTTTTATGCCGTTATCGATAGATGTTTTAATATATAACACAAATCCGGGTTCTATAGAGCCAGTATCGTATGGAACAAGAAAGAAGGCAAACTTCAAATCGAAGTAACGAGCTACAAAAAGATGGCTGCTGGTCACAGGGCAGCACAAAAGGAATGGTTGAGGATGTTAAGATTTATCCAAAGCACCTGATGATTTGGACTTTGTCGATCAGGTCGATGCGGTGTTGGGTGCCGTTCATTTCAAGTGATTGCTTATTTTATCCCTAAACAATTCGCTTTCAATCAATACATTTGTCAATACTTTTACTAATGCTGGCTTTCTCATTAGCCTAAATCTGCACTTAGCAACGGCCGCCATGTTTCCTAACAAGCTTTCAGCAGTGTCTTAGCCAAATAGATGCTTGGTGCTTTTTTATATGTACTTCGATGAGCGAAAATAGCTTTCGGCCCGATCATGAAATTGACCTACATATCGATGCGATTAAATAGCAGATGCCTAATTATATAGAGATTCGTCGGCACCAATGTCAATCATTATTTTGTCGTTCTTCAGCGTCTTTGTTACCGTCGTTACCGCTAATGCTGACGTCATTTAGATCCCCCTGCTTTACCTACCTAGGCGCAGCTTTGGCCCCACTCATGAATATTTTAACATCATTAGTTGCTGTTACTGTAACATACTACCGTTAGACCAAAAATAGGTTGAATAAGACACTGACAATTCGTAAGCAGTTTCTCCAGCATCAGCTAACCGGATCGATAACAATCGAGGTAACAACAGGTGTACGACCCCTAGACGGCCATCACAGGCTGACCTAGAACAACAGGCAAATCGTTGCTAAGCAAAGCGCCCATGACGTCAAAAAGTAATAACAAAAAATAATTGGCGACATCTCGAAATTGATTCGTAGCTCGAACCGTTACGCCGAGGCAACGCATCAATCACAATGAAATCTATCACTGTTTGTATGAGCGTCAGGCTGGTGTTTAATTGGCTAGTCCTATCGGCCCGTCGTATTATATGGCCTTGCGGAAGGTGTTCACATGGTTGGTTGCGCGCTTAACGTACGCTCGATTATTTTATTTTTTGGTTGGTCGGGTTTATATGAATGTGTTCAGTTTTCCTTCTACATCTATTCATTAACCTCTGGGTTTCGGAACGGGAACGAAACACTATGAAGCGTGGCGCAGAGTCTATAGTTTAGTCCCACGGTGTCAGGTCGATGCTAGGGTAGCTACTGCATGGATTGATCGGGTTGCTGAAAGAATGGACAGATCGTAGAAGGTTAGTGAAATATAGGACGTAGCTTAATCCTCAGGCTGGTTTGACGTTCGGGTACGGATCAGGTTTTACATGTCAGCTTTGTTTATAAGGCGGTTCTTTGTAGAACGTGTCAGCTACCACGAGAGTATCAAAATTCTACTAAGGAAGCCTAACTAATTTGCAACCAGGATTACTACAGTATGAGTTTACTAATCTATCATGTAGACCCTACATTTCAATAATGCATCTCACAATTGATGTATATTGACAACATCGTTTTAATATGTTCTCTATCCATAGTGTTACATAAACATTCTACACATAAAAGCGAGTTACAGAAGTAACGTGGTATTATAGAGAAGTTAACAGTATCGTCTTACGCTAATTGAGACTGATACTTACTGTTCCGAAATCTGCGTGAACACGTCCTCGTGTATGTTTTTGATGCCCTCAGAGGTATCACAGATGATTTTGGCATAGAGTGTCGATTCGAGAATCGCGCGCTGCTGCTCAGGCGTTAATGAAGTGTGCTCGCCTTCGTGTGTAAAGAAAAAACGATCTCCATATCGAGCATTGTGGAACTGTGTACCGATGATGCATCCAAACGTGGGACCGACAATGGCACCGGGGAGAGGCGTTTCGCAGATTCCTCCAATGAAAAGATCAACATCTTGAGGGGCGCTGCAATGCGATAGAGAACAGTCGACCAGTAAATTTATTACAGCCTACTTTAGGTCGGCTGTACCTGTAATAATACCCTACTAGGAACGCCAGGGAAATAGAAGGTGAATTACTACGATAGTTACATTCTGGCATAACCGAAGCAATGGAATGGCTTTGGATGCAACAACAACAACAACAACGATGATGCAAAATTGAAGAGATCCCTGGAACACGTTTTTTTTTTTTACAGTAGTAACTATATTTTAATCACTTACGCGTAAAGATCTCGAAGAGCCACAGCGCACTTCGGCTTGAAAATTGGCGCTAGGTCCTCCCACGAATGCACATTGAGTCCTGAACAAAGCTTCACATAGTTGGTATAGCCAGGAATACCGTGATCACGACCTCGTTGGACGTTGATGGCTGGCAGGTCCATGCCAAAAGACACGTTAAGCGGACGATAAAGGTCGTTGGTGACTCCAGTCACAAACGAAGGCCCAAACTTTTTCATTGGTTGCACCGAAAAGCCAAGCATGATCTTATCGTTTTCAAGTGGGTTGTAGAAATTGAGGACCCGGTTAAACGAGTCACGCATAGGAATCTCGCGCTCGAGGCGGCCTTTCAAATCGACGGCCCAGAACGAATTACGAATGGTTGCATGACCGTAACGGTAAGCTGCGACTCCCCACTCATTTATAATTCCAGGGTTGATGTCTGGGTTATACTTGGTCGGCCCCGTATAGTCAAGAGCATACTTACGCATGTACTCCTTACCAATGACCTTAGGCAGGAACTCGTTGTACGTCACCATCTGCATCTGGGCGATAACGATTCGACGAGCAGTGAAATACAAGATCTCCTCATCCCAATGGGGATGTCTGGCCCGAAGGCGACGAACAATATAATTGTGTTGACGATGCCACGTTGTCGTCTGCGAGGTTATCCCAATCTGCTGGTTGACCCGAATATCGCCACCTCGGAAGCACAAACGGTTTGTCTGCAGATCCGAGCAACCATCGTTAATAGGTGTCTCAGTAGGCGGCAGAAGGCCTATTCCCTGCGAAGTTAACTCACCACTACCGTCAAGGTTGCGCAATTGACGGTTCTGCGTATCGTTGAGACCATACACATTCGATAGGTCAATGTATGACGTTTCAGCGTTAATTTGTTGACGGTAGCCTAGAGTACAGGTGGGACAAGGTCCAGAACGAACGACGTTCATACATTTGCTCGACACTTTACTAAAGAAACGATCCCCGGGACGAATATAGATGGGAAAACATTGCGAAATCTGGTTGGTATCGAAAGGGCAGCACTGGGGCATAGATCCGTTAGCTGAAAGAGAAATGCAATGGATTCTAAATTTTCTTCAAGGATTGATTGCCTCGAAAGAGAGAAAGTGGCCAACAACGCAAGCTTGAAGTATTCTGTTGTGAAAATCCATGTAGATTGTAGAAACAAGATAAAATATACATGTAAATACGCTATTTCGATATAGTATACTTCATCGATTACTTACATCCGATACGGGCCGTAGGGGTGAGAATCATATCATGATCAAGGAACTGTCCAAAGCCTTGAATCTGATGAGTATATTGAGGGTCGAGATCCTCCTCGCCTAAGATTTCAAGCAGTTTTTCAGAAATAAAACGGGGATTTGGAAGTTCATCACCGTTACTCATGAAACGGCGAGGCAGGCTGACACCGTCTTCATACGCGGGTTCAAGTAACCGGAGTTGACAGGCGTTAGCCATACCCCACTGGGGATTAAGGAGGTTGTTGCAGGTGCCATCGTGGGTCTGGAACGCCTGTTTTTGACAGATCGCAATGTCCTGTTCGGCATTACACTTGTCCTGAGCCTGCTTAGCCAATAACGAATGGTCAAGTGACAGCGAACTCAGGCCGCCAACATCCTCACGGGCGAAATGACCACTTCAATAGTAACGAAGTCAAGATATATTTGGAGAAATGTTATTTAATTAAATTTCAAATAACCCAATTCAAGGATCGATAATTAATAGCCCTAACGATATTTTACTGATTACGTTGAATTGACTCTATTCCTATAGTGATATAATTTACTAGCAGCATAAGTAAATAATAGATAAGAATTACATTCAGTTGTTCAAACTAGATAGTTCACTATGTAACTTTCGTGATATATTGGTCTGCAACACCGATAACACTAATGACGATATAATCTCTATAGCCGGCTTGGTAACCTAATGTAAGCGCTGGGTGATATAAAATGTGAAGGACAAACATCTTCAGAAGTTCTCATTGCCAACAAAGGAGTGTTAACATGCATTTACGTTCTGCTGTGAAATATTTTAAATACACTTTTACTAATACAAAACAGGATTTGCTTAAAACCGACGTGATCTTGGCCAAGGCCATGCGCTTCATGTGGAGGAAGAGCTTCCGACAAGCAAAGGTGGCTTTCTAAGCCGCAACTCTTCATCAAGTCTTTATCCCCTATTAGAGAACAAAAGCCCGAAAATAGATCCACGCATTGCAATGATAGTCAGATGAATGGTCAATTAATACAGCCCCATCAGTTACACAGTCGGATACAGAACTTCACTAAAGGAAGATATTCAGGGAAAGAAATATTCAGAGACACATATACACTTACGATCAGTAACTTTTGGACTTTTTTTTTATAGTTTAGATCGAGTTTAGTAAATTTATTCAACAAAAGCACAATTTGATAAGCGGCAGTCATCATAACAGGTTATGCACCTGGGCATATCTATCGGGATATATACATACAGTTACGTTTACTTTGAACTATCTTTATAAACATTCTGATTTTATAAAACTCTAGTGGCATCCGAAGTATAACTAGTCGACCAGGAAATTTGTTGAATAAACGACATAAAAGATCATGCAATCAATGTAATATGCAATTATCTACTTCTTGTTTCGTGCTTTCAGTAGAATGGTGTAGATGTATTTAGTTGAAAAACAAAGCGTTCTATTAAACATATGTGACATGAAGATTAGTACGGGCGATACTACACCTTCAGCGGAAGAAAAAATAACAAAGACAGGCGTAACTGACATGGCAATATCACAAGCTGCACACAAGCACGAATACTTCATTGATTTCTTTATTGGTGAGGGCAACAACATTGATGTAACGCGACGAAGCTCTGCCCTTGTGAGCCCCACGAATCGGTGGCGTACATTAGGGTAATGCCGTCAGAAAAAACCTCGACCACTAATAACGTAGGATGTGACCATATTGTCGAGCAATCGCAAAACAAAATAAAAACAAACAACAGCAGCTAAATTACTTCGTAAGTAACAAAAGATTGACCTTATAATACACCACATACACATAGTAACATTGGCTACGGGAGACGCTGTGAGAGCATCGGTGCACATAAATCATGGGATGTTAGTCGGCTAAGAACTATAATTATGTTTAACAAGAAGGAAACTGCATGCCTGTCTTATTAAGTGCCCGTGCCGTGATCTATTCTGATGGCTTTCGATAATGTCACGTACGGTCGCCATTTATGGCCGCGAGCCACGGACATTACCCAGATAATGCTCACCTAGAGGTTAAGTTGACGGCAAGGTATTCCAAAATCACTAATTCCAATGCGGCCTGGGAGAATTCTAATGGCTTCTCGGCGTGGGACTGGGCACACTAACCTTGCGTAACCTAGTCGAACATCCTTTAATGCCCCCGTTTATCTTCGTCAATGGTTATAACAGCTTCAGTAGAAACAACTGATGTTATCGTACCCTCTTCATCAATAGCGGGAGAGGGAAGTGTCGCTTGTTGGGACGATAACAAGTAAATAATACCATGACGCATCTGCAACATTAGATGGAGAGCACGATATTGTGCTTATCTCTAGAGAAAGCGTCGCTGAGACGATAGCCATATTCAATGTATGTGAGTCAACGACAGCATGGAAAGGTGGTGAGAAAAGCAAATTCTCCCGCAGTACCCACAGGCCCAGCAGCTACGACGGCGCGAAACACTGCCTAAACAGTGGGAATAAGCGACTATGTATTGTTGCAACAGGTTTAACCACTGGGTCATCATTTGCTGTCGACGCGCTGGTACTTTCGCCATCTTCCTCCCCACCAACGTCATGATCCGTTTTAGACGAAACAGCTTGCTGTCTTTGTTATAATCTATTCTAGTCTAGACAATACGCGCAAACCGTAGATTGTGTCAGATAAGTTGGATTTGCTACGAGCTAGTTCCTCATAGATTACCTTTGCTATTGACAATAACTGAGTGTAAACAACGTATAATTCAGAACAAACAACTTACTAACGGGTTGTATCGAAGACAAGCGAATTAGTTGGTGGGCAGACTAAGTGCCAAGCGGTCGCCAGCCGATACTGTAAAAGTTTATTTTCGAATTCGGTGATCTTCTAACTGGGGTTCTGTGACTGTGGGGTTGTCTTCTTTTTGGATAGACGTTGAACGTATTTCTTAAGCGTGAGAATCTGCCACCCTCAGCTATTTACGACTATGTTTTGGGTAATTAGGGATGCCGATTTCGCGCTCCATCGGAACGACCTTGCAATAGCTATAGTTTTTTCGAGGTTGTTTTGTGCGAACTTTTTTACACATCATAATGAAACTGTAGTGTATCAGTGTTGTTAATATTCTTATTAATAACCTACTTTGGACTCGTTATCATTAAAGGCACGAAACTAACGAGCTGTTGTTTATCGGCTTGCAGAACGTATACGTAATTGCGTGACTGCCAAAAATGGCCCACTGTTTTTTGATCCGTATCGTTTTCCGTAGTTCCGTTGTTTTGCCAATGTCACTTTCATAAAAACTAATCAATGCCATAGATTTCTTATCACCGGCCTTTACGTTTAGAATTTTGGACGCAATACGCAAACAGAACGAATAGCCATTTTCGATTATTACAATATAGATTTGAGTCTTGTATCGTCGGCTTTCAGTACAATCAAGGTAACGAACAGAAGTTCATTCGCCATAATCCGAGTGAAGTTACGATATGCCAGCAACTTTGGGCCTCCTACCTTTTTTTACCCTTCATATTGTGTAACATCATTAGACTATAAAAGCTACCTTTTTATGGGGAAAACAGCGAAGTATCACAAGATATTCTTTAACTCTATCTAGATGACGTTACCTAATCGCGACCTCGACACAAAGCTCAACGTGATCATCTTCCAGAGAGAGGTCAATATCACTATATTGAATTCTATTTAAAGCGTACACATATGAGAACAACTCTGAAGAGATTCGGATCTTACGTATTTACGTAGACTATATGCGCAGATTATATATGATCACTTGATAACGTTTCGCTAATAATCGAGAGGGAGAGAAATCAGACAAGCGTTCTGAAGATGGATTCGTTGCTTGCTGGATAAGAAAGTTCGATAAGAAGGTACGAACGCGTACATGCCCTCCATCTCTGCGTAGTCTGAGCAAATTTTCTGTCGATTATCGTCCCCCCTCTCTCTAAAAGCCATTTTTGGCAACGACTCGGTACCAGCTTTAACCTGGACGCTGAAGGATCAGCCGTCCATTTTCCACTCACGTCAAGAATTACGACAGAGACATTTATTCAGCTTACATAGTCATTTTCGACCTGTAAATGATGATTTCTGTCTCGCCTTATATCAAGTTTTTTTTTTTATCAATTTCCTAGGAGATTACGAAGCAGACGATCGATTTCGCTATACGCGTAACTACTTTCGCCAGCGCTAAAATACCGTAATGGGTAACACACACACACACACGCGACGTTGTTGTATGTGAAACGACAATTTTTGACGAGGATCTTTGATTTTTTCTTCGCTAATTAGCTAATACGACAGGAGCAGCTTACATTATTATTGAAGCAGAGAAAAAAACTTCTTGTTTTTTTCGTTATAAAATCTACACTGTGATCAAATTGCAGAGTAACACCTGGTCCGCTTTTGAACGCCACTCAACTGGCTAATAACAGGACATCGTATGGTGTGTTTATTATCATGGTATAGCCTATTGAGGGACCTTAACGAGTCGCGATAGGACAGTAGGTTTGGGGGCCGTAGATATTTTCATCATTTGCTAGAAAATGTAATGGCACACCTAGTAAACCTATTTATTACTGCTAACATCTGCCACCGGGGCATTCGTGATGAAATGTTAATGATGAGTGTGATTGCACCTGTCATTACTATTAGCCATGTTATTACTACTGTTGATACGCTGAGATGGCGGCGGCGGCGGCGGCGGCGGCGGCGTCATCGAATCATAACGATGGAAGCAAGCGAGATAGCGTAGTGGCGTCGTTCTTTTTGCAGCGTCAACTAAATTGACTAAGCATCTATCAAGTCCTCTTCTCTACATTCAACGGCAATGCTCTGCCGCTGAATTGACGGTGGCGCTCATTTCGTCCTGATTAACATTAGCATCTTAACAACACTTTATTGCTAAACTACAGTAGCAATATCGACTTCAGCTGCACCACAGCACCGGCTCAACTCCGTCCCGAATTTCTGGCTGCGTTTCTTACGTGCCCCATGGCCCGGCAGCAGCGTCTGCAGCAGCCTAGTTCAGTCGCCTCTGCATTGTAGCTTCGTCTCCTTGCTGACAGTCGCAGCCGTTACGGCAAACGCGACTATCACAGTAGTTCTAGTAGCACTAGTCAAGCGTCTGCTACCAGCAGGCGAGAACCATTAGACCAAACAGCGACTCTGATCCGCTTTTGTTCATACTTCTTCCATTCTTTCAAGCAGCCAGCGAACAAAGTCAAGCGCTCAACGGCGCACCTCAAACTTCTCATTCCGTTAGGGCTATTGTTTCGGAACAATGCCGGTGTCACCACTACCATCATCACCATAGCAATCGCCATCGTCAACAGCAGCAGCAACAGCAACAGCAACAACAACAGTAACAACAACAACAACAGCAGCAGCAGCAGCAGCAGCAACAACAACAACAACAAGTAATTCAGCACGTTGAGGCGTACTGTATGGATCGGCGCTGGTGGAACATAAACGTACATTGAGACATAGTAAATGGATTCAATTCAATCTGGTCGAATCGTTTACTGAATGGTTGCTTGCGAACCTTGTATGATTTCTTTTTCTGCTGCTGTAGGCTTATGAGTAGGTGAATTACTGCTACCTCGCTCTCCATCAACTCTCCCGTTAAGTACGTCAGTAATGGCTGCGCCGGCTGTCACTAGTTAATATTGTGATCAGTACTTCAATCGACTTCGTTCGATAGAACTACGGCCAATATAGACGGCTCATTTGCGCAGAAATCTATCCTATGCCGGGTGCCCGCGAGACACAGTGTCATGCCAATAGCCATAGCTATCCTAACAACAGGCGGGAAAAAGATAGCACAGAGCGCACGACGTACATTTGTATGTGGCTTGGAATACTGACTGTTATTGTATAGATGTTTATATGTATCTACGAGTCTGTCGTATTGGGTATAGGACGGGAACATTATTAGGATGCTGTCAAGTTCCGAGGGCGGGCGAGCACTTCTACTACACACAACATATCAAAGAGCTTTTAGATGGCATAGGGAAAACGTGTTACAAAATAACGAAAATTCTTGGACGGATTTGAGACAACTGAAGCTCTAATTTATTATATATATATATATATATAAATGCTTCCAATTTTACGTATATGGATATATAGGGTCTATTCGCTCTGTACATTATAGTAAGAAGCTAGTCAAATATTGCTGGCGATCTTCTAACTACATGGAAGATGATACCGTTTCAGAAAAATACTTTCTAACTGTGTGGCCGCCATCGGGCCTAATTGGGCTTGTTAAGGCCCATAGGGTAGCTGAACAAAATTTCCCCTGTTTGTCATGCAAGTCCATATTTTACGAAATCAAAATACAAATAAAAAGAAATCATTATTAGACATAACTCCTGCTAAGCGAATAATGAGCGAGGCGGAATCTCCCGCGCTCAACTTTTCACCCTGTTGGCCAGTGTCCATAAACCGTACTTGACAATCACTTAACACCGTTTTCGATCAGATTTGATTGGCTCAAATCATATTTTCTAGACCGGAATAACGAGCTATTTTTCATCAGAAAAAAAACCGTAGATCCCGATTCCGATCCGCGTCTATCGAATCGTACGATATACGTGAGCCGCTATCGAGCATTGCGCAATCGACAAAGGAGGGGCAACATCTCTTCACGAACAAACGCTAACTCAACCCTCGAGGTTCCACCGGTATATCGACAAATTTCGAAATTCTTCTTGTGTATTCACTATTTACTTAAAGCCTTTCCGGCTACGGCAGTCGGAGACACTCTGAGGACTGAACAGCCAATTGCGCCAACAGTGGCCAGTAGTTTTATAGTTTACGGCCAACAAAGTCTACTGTAGTGCACGGGACCGAACAGAAACTGCTCAGCTCTATAAACGGGGTTGCGAGGTAACGGGGGTAAGGATACAACGATAACATTTAGTAGTATATCATTGTGCAAGATAGCTTCTTCCGCCCCTAGTCTTGCCTCGTCATTATCCCCTCAGTCTAAGTAGATGGAATCGCGTTGCCAACAGCGCGGATCGACCTTAGGTAGATCTGGCGGTCAAAAAGGTTACGATGAAAAGTATGGCAGTTGCTCACACGCTGCTGGTCAGGTCGAGTTAGTAGAAGTCCTGGCGTGTGTCATAGTATGATGATGGCATAGTGGCAACGTGTTTTCTTCCTAAATTTGAGGACAGGCGGTTCGTTTATGTCTAAAACTGGGTACAAGCACACTTCGTCTTGCCCTGGGAGCTAACCAGGTACATTTTACTACTGGTAAGCCAGAGAGGCTTACCAGTAGTAAAATTGAATTAAAAAGTTGGAACGTTCGTTCTAGCACAGCTCCTTAATGTTCATGACCAGTTCCGGCCAAGTCAACATTCAAATCAAAGGGTGCTGTGTTCTGACAGCAATAAAGCTTACGGTGCGAGATGTTAGTGGTGAAAATCATACTAGAGCAGTGTCGGAAAATGCCTTATCGAACCTATATCAAAGCACTTATTGTTGCGAGGACCTCGGGTAAGGTTGGATTAAACGTCGTCGTCGTCGACCAACATGAACATACATCGTTAAAATCTCAGATACTAGATTAGTTTTTACGTCGTAAGCGTTTGATGATACGGAAGAAAGAAAATGAGGAAAAAATTCAATAAAAGACGAATTATTTCCACAAAATGTAGCAATAGATATTAATGTTTCGAAAGAAAGTCCGCGACATTTTCTCGATCTCGCCACGTCTTAGACAAAACGCCGTCGAATTGGCAGTTCACCAGATCCCGGTTTTCATTTCCACTGTGGCATATATTTGCATGATTCTGTAGGAGAACATGCTACCCTTAGACACACAGAAAATTATTCACGGAGACATTCGCAAAAAGCTGCCTTCTTCTAACTAGTTTGGAACCAAGGGCGGCTGCGCTTCGTGCAACGTCTCCGCCAATGTTCACGCCCCTTCTTTCTTTATTTATTCTTCCGTTTGTTTTGACGCCTATGTCTTAAATCATTGTCACTGGTGGTCATTAACGCAATACATACAATTGCACGTGTAACACCTACATGTCACGATCCTGCGACGGGCCAGGTTTTTTTACTCAAATACCGGTGCCATGGTCGTAGAGACATACAGATGTTTGACAACTACAATTTCGGGGTACGTTTGTGTAGTTGCCTTCGGAAAAGGTACCTATTATATTTTGTTTCGTTTAAGAGCGAGCGCTTCTGAGTCCATCCGTGACTATCCAGCTCTCTGCTTGCCCCCGTCGTATGATACAACGTCAAGCGTATAAAACGCTAACAGCTCGTGGTATCTAGATGTATACAATGCACCTACGTGTTGTAGTGCGGCGTGCGGAGCAATTAGCGACAGATTGTTTACTGTCTTGAGTATCTACTACAGCATAGACAAGATCACAGGTGACATCTGGGAAGGCCTGAGCTTCGTGGGGCTGGAATCACCTACAGCGTTCTATTACGAATAAGAAATTGGGTCTGAACGCGCCACGAGATATATTGTATCGATATATTGTATATGTTACGATTTCAATCTAATTTCTATCTTATCGTAGTTGCTGTGAAATTTTTTTTGTGTCCCTCGATTATATTCGGAGCGAGACCTATTATTCGATATAGCGTTTGTTTATTGGTTCGGCTATTGTTTTGCAACTCGATTAGATGAGAGAATTGAGCCGCTGTTGGGTATATGGTCGTTAGTTAAATGATTCCTTATGCCAGCATACCTAATAGATCGCGCTCGCCAATATAGCAACATCGGCCTGAAGCAACAGCTCCCGGGCAACACTGAGCTATTGAAAACCAAATTATAGGACTAACGGAGTCTAAAAAAAAGTCAGCGGAAGATCATACATTTTTATCTCGTCTGCTTAGAGAACGATACTCACAGGCGTCGTCGTTTCTTTGCTTAATTTTCTCCATTGGATCGTTTGCACGTTTCCAAAAGTTCCGCTGAATCGTAAACGGAGCGGTTAAGACAAATAGGGGCTGTACGTGGCATCGTACGCTATAATTATATTGCCCTAACTGTTTTGGCTGGATAGACAGAATTCTTTTATCATTGATACTGACCAGCTTGACTTACCGGCTGCTGTACTAAGACTGTTGTACTTGAGATAATCACCGCATTGGATGATTGCCAGCGGTAACATATTGACGTATAAAGCTTGTCGTTGCTGTACCGCGTAAACGTTTGCGGAAGTTTAACCCGTCTGTCTAGACGTTTGGCTTTCACTATGATCAGGAGTAATGGCTGATCCCTTGATCGGGTCAACCGCATTATCGTTGCGAACGGGTTGTGGCAAAGAAAGCCAACATCAACATCGCCATATAAACGTTATTTACTAGTTAATTGCGCATTTGCATAAATCTAATATAACATTAATATTAACAGCGGTATAAAATAATTATATAATTTCGTATACATCAGCCGTTGCTGAGTGCTAGGCAGCTTCTACGCTTTCTGGATGGGCCAATTGCCAATTATCCCAGCCCAAACACGCGCGAACAGACGTGTACCTAAGCTGATAAGTCGACAGCGTTTTTCAAGAAGAACTGAACTCAATGACTCCAAATTAAGTATATTTCACGACTACATATAAACAATAACGAAATGTAGTTAAAAAAAAAAACAACAACAATCTCGGCTATAGCAAACTAATAATTCCGAAATACTTCGAACGTTACGCGCCAGTTTGAAGAATGCTGATAATGACGACGCGCTGTTTGGTTCGCGGCAAGGCCGTACAGACTTGATAACGTACATTTACAGGCAGGCAGACAGGCAGGCCAGGAGTAGCTTTTGCACCTCTAACAACAAACGATTCTGAATCATACTTACCTTTTTAACAAAGCAAGCGTAGCGGCGTTGAAGAGGAAACCCTGATCGATGGTGGCCTTAGCCCGTTTAGCGGCATACGTCGTCCGTTGATGTTTACGTGATGCTGAGGCTTCCATATCACTGACGATTTTGCCGAGATCGACAGCTCTCTGTTGTAGCCGTGTGTTCTCGGCAAGATCTGCGGCGGCCTGAGCGAACGCCTGATCGAGCTCCTCGGGGGCGATGTGCTGACAATGAGCCAATGGCAGTACTGCCATCATCAGGACTAGCATCGCGAGTAAGGACACTGTCATGTTCCACTTCATTTTCTAAAAGATTCAGTAAAATGGGACGCATAGGGCGGAAATGTTCGACATGAGTAGCTGTTCAATCAAGTCTGCCACATGATGTAAGCAATGCTACACAAAGCTTGTGAAAAAGAAATAAACAATTGAGATTTTCTTTCGTTACCAGCCGGTTGGCCAAAAAGGTTTCACTGAAGTGCCACCGAAAGAAACTGGATCGCGGCTGTTATATAACGGTAGCGGGTACCTTGTACAAAGGTGAGTTTTACCAATAGGCCTTTAGACAAACAATAATGTTACGATCGCCGGTATTACGGACTTCTTTTGAAAATGAGACACTAACTCAGTCAGACATATGTATAGTGTACTCGTCTATGAAAAGTTGCCGCGATATCTAGTCTAATTTGAAAACAAAAAATCATTTCGAAATAGATAGCACGATCATATGGCTAAAACCTAGGTTAAGGGACGTGTTGTGACGGCAACGGATGCATCAAACGTTCATTATGGGCAGTAGGACTACCTTTTTTCTCCATATACGCCTAAAATACGTAGTAATTTTTTGAATACATGATCACCCTATAGCATTACGTCCACCGTCATTAAAAAAGAGCACCGAAGACGGCCTTGCGCACCAAAATATTATAACACCATGACTTCTCACAATTCCGATGTCTAACTAATTTGACAACCTAGGGTCAACTAAGCTGGGCTGATTATATGCTCGTCAGCAATACAACTATTAATTCATCTCTGGTGTCTAGCATTAATTACGACCTTGAAACAACTTCCTTGTCTCGAATTTTACGTTGATGTCTCCGTTAGGCATTCCATCAGAAGGCTTGGCCCCAGCATGAAACGAAGTGTGTCTATGCTTGGATTCGAACCTAAACCTAGAACATGCCTCTAACGTTAGCAGGCAAACACATAACCCACTAAGCTATTATGGAAGCCTCGAAGCAATCTGCGACGACAACAAATGCTTTCTTTCTATTCATTTAACAAAAAGCGTCTTATTGTTCAGCTCCTTCAGAAGGGCGGCACGTTTATCTCATTCGTGAAAAGGTCACTTTACAAAAAAAAAGGACACAAAGTTTCTTTTCAATTGATCTATCTTCCTACATTGTTGCTTTAGCAGCTGCCGCCCTAACGTTATCTCGGGTTCAGCTCAACGGCGCGGAAGTACTATTATCGCCGCGGCTATTTAAACGTATTTTTTTTAGTTAGAAAAGAACACGGTGTACGAAGATTCCAGGTAGACTGACAAACAACAGGGATCACCAATGGCAAAGCAAGGACAAAAATAATGTTGACTCTGTGCTTGCGAGTTAAGACCGGACGTCAGTGACGTATCTTACACAGTCACTGCAGTATATTGTGAGAAGCCAATAGCTGCGAGCTCCCTCCGCTTCCCACTGGCAGTTGTTGTTGATGTCATGCCACCAGCATTCGTTTGACTCACTGCGTTGGTAAACAAGCCATAGCAGAAACAGCAGCAGCCAATAAACACTAACTTGCAATGTCAATTTTCTGCAAATGAAGCAGTTTCGGCTTGTGCGGATCTGATTTGTTCGGTGCTGTTAGAGCGGCAATGGTCAGCTCCTCGATGGTTAAAGCTCCCTTGGAGACGGAACGTGAAGACGTTTAACATGATGATTTCATCTATCCTCTGCTTAGTTAGCAGTGATTGTTGTTATCTAAGATATATTTAAGACATTGAGCCAGTCAACGCTGTATGCGTATGGGTCATCTTTGGGCTATCTCAAGATCCTGGGCATAAGAATACCCGAGCTGCTACGGTGCGTTTTGTTGTTATTGCAACCAAATGCAAAAAGTCTATAGATGACATCCAGCTCAACATCCGTATTGTACAGAGGCCGACCATAGCCACTACTTAGTCTCGATTACGCTGTAAAAGTAAAGGAAGTTGTTAGTCGCCGTCTTGTCACACGCGCGCCAGACTATTGTGGGGGCAAAGCAGCGCGAGGTGGCAATGACGACGCTTTTTTTTTTAGTAAAGCTAACGCTACTACTACTACTACTACTACTACTACTGAAATGGTCGTAAATATGCGGACGTCAGATAGACTTATTGTTGATGATTATAACAATGTTAGTATTAGGTGAAGAAGTTTGATTTATGTGACGCTCCGTTCGAGTCGGGTAGGGGACCTAGGAATGGTACGCAAATACACGCGCACGCGAAGATCCAATATGGCGACGAACGAGGTGAAACGAGTTGGGTTAAATGGCTTACGTGGGTTTCATTTTCTATTTGTGTGTTCTATTGTCTACGAAGATATCAAGGTTTTTTGTTCACACTATGTATATTTTACCACTGACACTTATGGTATGATATAAATAACTGTAATTGGTGATTATATTACATAGCAGATAAACAATTTACCTAGAAATAAAATATTTTTTATTCTTTTTTCAGAGCAAGCAGTTGCGACTCACTTTGGATTAAATTCATTTACGCACTGATTGAGTCGATAGCTTTGTTCGCGTTGAATTAAAAATCTATTCTCACACGGGGCATAAAGCACGGGGCGCTAGAAGAGACAGCAACAATGAATGAGCATCAAGATGCCAGCGACGGTGGACTCCGTTATAGGTGAGCGTAATTCAGTGGACGGTTAGGGCGGCCCGGGGAAAGAGCCAAGGGGTTCAAAGCATATGGTTTTTGTGTGTGTTTTGTATGCGTATGAAAATAACGAAGAGCTTGGTCCTACAAACAAACTGCATCGTTTAGCGGTGCCAGGTTTACACTTTTGTAATCGAGCCTAAACAACAAGTGAACCAAGCGTGCTTAATTTTCCGCATTTTCTACTTGCTGTACATTAGTTCCTATTAAGAGAGCGTTCAGTTGGCGCTATGGATATATTTCAGATAGATAGGTAGGTAAACAACTAGCGATCGAACATCTCCCTTCCGTGCCCATACGTTTATAACATTTCTGTTAGGGTCTTACCCTTGCGACAGTCAAGAGTTTGTAATAATAGTCTTTGTTTGTATCGTGTTTATTAACATGTTCTAGAAACGTTTTTTAGAATAATGGAGCGAAAAATTAAGCATATTGTGACATCGATTAGCCAATGTGTCACTGTGGTACTTTTAGAATAAACTCAATTACTAGATTATGTCAGTATAAACACGAAGTTTATCGTATATGTGTCTGCCATGGAAACGTATGGCACGTTCACCGTGGTTGAAGACCAGGCGCACACGTACCACGCACCTCTAGTCATACTACCAGGCAGACGAATTCAATAATAGCAATTATTGATAAGTCACATTGACGGACCTGTCATCACAAAATGTACGACACGGCACAATGAAAAAGGTTTCTTTTAGTTATCTAACAGCGGACACAAGGGGCGGAAGCAGTCGTCTGTGACAATATAATGACGGTGCTCGTGCTGTCATAGTCCGCATAACGAGCATCTCATGATGAATGCATGAAGTATTGATCTTACTTGTTTTGATAACTGGTGGTCGATTGGCAGTCAACGCTGATTGTCAGGCGACAACGTCATACATAAATATTTGACAAAGGATATTGTATGTTGGTTATGGGTCTGAGATCGAAGTCAAGCCGTCACAGTTATCGTAATCGATAAACGCTTGAAATCGCTATGGCCTTGATAATAGTAAACCGAAGGCCACGTTAATTCTCTAGTTTTGGCCTTAACGGTAGAGAAAATAATTTCACCAATAGGAAAAGGAAAAACTTACAGAGCTGTGTTTTGTTGCACGCTATTGCGGAGTACTCTCGCCGTTGTTCTTGCAGTCGCAGGAGGCAAACGCCTCGTATTCATAGAAATAGGAACAGGTGGCCACAACGACGTATGTAGTATATATTATCACGTTTGGAAAAGAACACGTTTGTCGGAATAGGTGCTTCCAATTTCACGTCCACTACTACAGATAAGCATTTCGTTAGGGAAGTAGTTCTAACAGAAAACAACGGCATAACGAAAAGCCCAAAAGGTAGAAGGCATCCCGGAATGAGCCCAAATATGGCAAAGCTCAAATTCAGTTTCTTTAAGCTAACGTTCCTTCACTTCAACTGGACAGACGTTACTTTTATAAACACTAGGGTACTCTAGGCGTGTGCATGCCCCGAATCATTATGTGAGGCTCGCGAGAGTGCTATGTACCTCAAATTTGAAACCTCATCTTAATATACGTCTTATTAGCTCATTTTTGTTTTGCCTTGCATAGCATCTGTTGTTATAGCATGTTTATATGATGTGCTATCGCTGCATAATCTAAATTACCAAACGGTAGTTCATTCTTGTTTTTGAAGGGGTGCAGCCCCTTTCGCCATGATCATGCCTATCAATGGCTCGTGGTTAAAATGATCCTGAAGCTCATACGAATGAGCAGGCTTTCCTGTTAAACATAACGAACGTAACAGATACCCTCTGCATAATTTGTCTACGCTTATTACCTACTACAGCAGACCACTGGCATTTATAATTTGGTTGCCTATTTTCTTCGATTATTCGCTTGGAATCTAAAAGTAAAATCTTTATCGTGTGTATTACTCACTGTAAAACGAACGCCATAAAAGTCCACTAGTGAAAACTTTTCGCATTAAGCGCGCTCGTTTCTCCGTTATAAGCGCTTTGTTTCCAACTCCAAGCTCGAAGTAAACGTGAAGTTCAACCGGTCTGTCTGTACACTTCCCACGGGGGGTCGGACGCCCGATGAGGTTAGTGAGCAACCATGCTGCAGTTGCTTAGTACAGCAGAATGTAGGCAAAGTATAAATATCAAACTGCAAAGCAAGGGCGGAATCTAGGGATGCTAAAGAAGTACCGCTTCACTTGTTTACTGGATAGCTAAAAGCTCATGTTGGTTCAGCTCTAGCGATGGCAGTTTAGCTAATGACGTTGCCACAACGGTCAGAATTGACCACGGGATCAGTTTCGATCGCAGAAACGATTTACTGGCCGATGCTGACTGGTAATAGCAAAACGCCAGGAAAGCCGGTCAAACGTTAGACGCTAAGGGGCCGACGAACGTGGGCCCAACGGGATGTAGTCTTCGACGCTCCAATAACTGTCGCATAAAGTCGTTGTTGTTGCTCTGTGGAACCACCGCTCAGTACCGGCACCGGTAAAGTCACTATTTGCTCACTTTTCACTATAACGAACACTTGTCGCTTGTCTGGTATTTCCGACCGTGATAAATTCCTACTGTCGTTCAGTGGCGCTATTTTCTATACTAGTACCAAACTTCTGACATATATTTAAGGCTCGTTAGCTGACCATTTGTAATATATGTGCGCGTTAAACAGATGACAAATGGAAGATTTTGATGATCTGTGCCAGGTTTACATGATACGGGCGGGGCGGACCCCTCAGAACTATTGCTGCTGTTGTTGCCGTTCCCGCCGCCGCCGCCGTCGTCGCCGTCGCCGTCGCCGTCGCCGTCGTCGTCGTCGTCGTCGTCGAATCGTATATCTTTGATGTTTTAGGAATGAACTTGTAAGCGCACGAAACTGCTACAGAACGCAAGAGAGCTGCTTGGAGACGCTGCACATAATACGAAGGAAAAGATCGGCCCGATCGATCGCATCACGCTTGCTGCCGTGGATCAAACAATCAATCCGATAGCCACATTACCATCACCATGAGAGCAGGCAACAGCATATTGACACGTTCGGTTTTTCTATATGATTATCATCAGGCTATATCTGTGCAGTTTTTGACATCAATGCTTTTAGCCTTTAACTGCACAGTTCTAGGTCCTTCTTCATTCGCGCATCTTATCTGCATCGACTTGTAGACGGATCAAACTTGCTCCGTTATGGCGCACTGATTTACCTACTTGAGCTTAGGGATATGGGGTGGTCTAGGTTCGAGACCCGGTGTAGACACACTTCGCCTAGTGTTCGGAGGAACAATGCTTAACGGCTTGGGAACCGGACGTAAAACTCGAAATATATATTTACCTATATATAGAAACAACAAAACATAGGATGGATAGAAACAGATCGATATGCAGAAATATTTATAAAAATAGTATAAATAATACGGACACGCACATAGCAAGAGGGAAAAAGTACGAGAGTCAGTCGGTTGTCTAATCACTACGGTAGCTGATTTCATCTGCCACTACAGATTGTGCTGGTGATGTTTGTAGCGGCGGCACGCGTCGTGTGAAAATGATTGTTTCAACTAGCTACTATATCATATGTATATATATTATATATATACAGGACTGGCTGAGAGAGTAACAAGGCGAGACTACGCTGGTAGTCCGGCACTATCTGTAGTGGGCAACGGTAGCGAACAGAGGTATTAACAGGGGCAGTAGTTGCTCGGAGCGCTTGGCGCTCGATGCCCGCGCGAGAAAACGGGGCAGCTGTTATAAGCCGAACATCGACAACAGATATATATATATTAACGTTCGCAAGGGGACGACACAATACCACTATATTAAAATAGCAAACGTAGCAAACGATATCGTTATTAAAAATACGGTAATTGACGCCAGCGGCCACCGGGCGGTCGCTGTTCGTTACCATATATGAATATCGTTTTTGTGGAAGCGGCTGCCGGTGACGCCGCCGTCGCATTCGGAAGAGAAAACGATAAGTAACGGGGAAGACAACAAAAAAAGCGCTCATTTTGAATTGTTACCATGTGCTATGGCAATTGTAACCAATCATTGTAATCGCGTAACGTTTAGATTTGAACAGATCAGAAGCTGATGTAGAACACAGCCCTCAAGCTCACTGACATCAACCAGCGAATCGGCGCCTTACAATATCATGGTCCAAAGTTTACACGCAAGGAAAAAACATCTGTTTTATATCGGAAATGCAATATTTTACGTTCAAAATAATTTCCCTTCGCATATTTTTCACTTCGGTCAGTTGTTTATAGGTTATTATTGTCATCCGAATGATTTACGAGGTATTTTACAACTGGATTAAAAAAATTAAAATACCCGCGCATACAACAGCGCGAAGTTAACTAATATAACGAGTATGTAAAATGCTTTTGATTAAAAAGTAATATATATATATATATATATATATATTACTTTTTACTTCGCGCTATCGACAACAGATATACATATATTAGCGTATATATATATATATATATATATATGTGTGTGTGTGTATAGTTCAAGCGGAGTTGCTCACGCCGTAAACTTGCATAAAGAAACAACACATTATAACAAAAGATGTAAAAAGTTTGGATATTCTTAGCATCAAAAATGATGGCAGATGCTCGGTTAGAGGAATGGATAAGAACATCAAAAAGATGAAAATGTATAGAAAATAAGCCGGTACACTGTCAAGTAGGTAACTGATATCTACACTGTTAACAAGATGGCATTTGTAACTGTACGTAATTTGAAGTTATAAAAGGCTATAGTATCCTGATTTTGTAATTGCTCCTTTCTCAAACGGGAACAAGTCTTTAAAAGGTAAACTATCCACGAAAACTGGAAGTTATTAGTCACTGCAGGCAAGCAGGTGTTCAATGCACGCTAAGCTATAGGCTACCTCAGGAATATTCATCAGTTGTTTTGGGTATAATTAGGTTTCCATAAGTACACTGAAAACTACACACAAGTTATATTAACTGTTACATTTCACGACCCTTTTCTCCTGTAGGAAAAAATTGCAACTCTACAAAGTAACATATGTGGTACAATGCGTCCTTGTATTACATGTACCTCCTTGTAGTAGGCGCCCCACAACAGACGAAAAATCGATTAATGGATCTAACTCTATTATATCCATTATAAATAGTTTTCCTGTCGAGGCTTTGTTTTCATCTATTCCACCACACTAATAATTAGGTATTGTTGTATGTAGTATGCCATGTTTGACTCTATTTTTTTTATGTTTTGCGGACCACACCAATCGTGACCGACCCATGTTTCACTTATAACTCTGCCAATTTTGACCTGGAAAAGTAGGATAACAATTGACGTTTGTTGTTGTTATTTATAACCGTCGTTATGTTTACTAGTCATTGATGGTATAGTACCAAGCGTCATTGTCGCCAGGTTATGCCGCTGATAATTTGCCCGTCGACAATGAAAGCTCCTCGGCATAAACGCTCCTTCCATATATCGATGCGTCTTTCTTTTTTCGATTAAAAAAAGGCAGAAAAAGCAAAAACTGCTATCGTCCCAAACGAAAAAGGCACTCTCCGTTATATATCAACAAACGAAGTTTCGCCCCTGTGAAGCAGCACTTTCTGCCATGTTTGCTTTCTAACTTTTTAAACCTCCAATCTCTGTGGCACTGGCCAATAGCCATTCCGTCCATTGCTTCCTCAGGCTTATACAGCCAGCAAAGCCCTCGAAGCCAGTCCTATAGTCGACGATGGTGACGTCGTCCATGGATCACGCCAGCCCGTTATCTGTGAGTGGTATCTCGTAGGCTATAGCATGATTTTGTACTGTTAATAAGACGGTACCATAGATGTTCGTCTTGCTGAGGCACCATCGACTTCGGCTTCTGGCAGTAGTCACTCGTTTTAGGTAAAGAGTTTCAGGTGAAACATTACCGATAATCACTGCTTCGAAGCTGTTGCTGTCGTTATAGTTGCAAGCGATAAAAGGTATGTGAAGACGTCAGCCGCCACTTGTACGCTTGTTTTAACCAGCGCCACAGTTTTACGCCAGCGACGGCTATCTAAAAACTCTTCGCAAATTTCCCTGCGTCTGTCAGGCAAAACCCGATCGCTATGGCGAATAACTGTTTCAGGCGGGCCACGTGAAGTAGCAATCAACTTGTGCCTGAAGTTTCGTGAAACGAAGTAACCACGAAACTTCTTGTTGCTTCGTTCAAAGCGGGTCAGGGAACTGTGAGGCGGAGTGATTTAAGTAGCCGAAAAATACAATTGACGATTGTTTGTTGGAGGTAAATGAGGGCCCAATCGATGAGACTTTGCGTCGATATTCGGGGTTCTGAACAAGAAGATTTGAAGATATTTTTCAGAAAAAAAAAGTAGGGGGTTTTCCTTGTATTTACGTAGACGAGCGATCCAACGGTTTGATATTGCTCGCTACGATAGTCGAAATATGGACTAGTATCGTCAATGGTATGAAAAACTGATCGCATAATTTGACGCCAGGTTATCGTACGCAGCAGCTGTGAGTGAAAAGGTAGGGACTTAGTTGGCCAATGAAGTGACAGTGCAGCACCATTGAATATGTCGCGGCCTTCTAATGGTCCGTCATTAAGGCGGAGTGATCGGAGCTATGCTTACCTGAATTGCAGGGCAGTTATTGAGATACCGGCTATACTGCATACGACTTTGGGAACTAGGCCCTCTTGCGGCAAATCCTCTTTACATATCTCATAACGGAAAAATAGTAAAGAGTTGTTAAATATGCGATGGCTATAGCAAACGCATTAGGTAATCAGCAAAGCAACAAGAAGGAGGTGTTTCAACTATTTACGACAAGATGACATCGAGAATCAATGGTAATCTTTTATAGACCAAATATTGTAAATAGATCTAAATGGTTCTGTAAAAGCCATTATTTGCATATGCTTTAAATGCCTATTTGTACAATGAACAGCCTCATGATGCACGACTGTGTATATAGGCCTTAGGTTTTGTGCGAGGTGTCTTAGTTACGAAATCAAAAACATGTTTGACAAGGGGATCGCAAGCCGCGTGTCGAAGGAACAGATTATAATGCTCAAAATACGCCATGTAATTGTTAATTTGAAATCATGTAGTTGCGGGGAAGGATCTGAAAAGAAGGAAACTCATGTATTTCTTTCTCCGGTTCACAAAGCTGGAGCTAACTTGGGTTTCTAAAAGTTAGCTTAAGCTTCAATGGGGTCCCGCAAAGCAAGCGATAACATGCTTCTTCTTTCCTATTGACAAGCCTCTGACAGCATTGCGCCATTAGTATCTTAATTGATATCAATCAAGTTCTATTGTTATCATTTCGTGATATAGTTGTTTATTTTGCTAGTGAAGTAACTGCCGCCCAATAGGGCACAGAACTAGTCCGCAGGCCATGTACAATTTTTGCTACGAACCGGGTCGGCATGTTTGTGTGAACAACGCCCAAATAAGTTTCTCGCCAGTTAGTGTGCATTTAAGTTTACATGGTCAATACGACATTAAATGGCATACGTTTTTTTTTTTTTTCCTCTATGGCCATAATACAGTAGACCACCATAGCCGATCTCAAATTCGAAGCCCCTTAATAATCTAGTTGACTGGAAGAAAGCGTGTCACAAACTTCTTTATGATCCTTATAGAGACGATACACAAGCATACAATTTTCTAAACTTGCGCCGTCCTTCAAGTTCTTTCTTCCGGTCGATATCAATTGTCGATCAACCGAGAGAAACGTTAGCTAGTGCACACGTTATTTCAGTTCACTTTATGAGGCACCGATTTCGACGGTATCCCTTAATATCGAGCACCTAGTCCGTTTGAACGGGCTGAATTTTACAATAACAATACTCTGTAATAACGTGAATTATTCTAATGAAAATTTAAGCACTAGCCCTTGAATAAATTTCTAATTTAGTTTAAATTAACAACGCCATTTAGGCAATGGTAGAAGCAAAAAGAGTTCTTTTTTTTTAAAAAGCCCAGGCCTAATACAGATAGTAGTGGGTAAAAGTAGTTGTGACGATTGAACAGTGTAATGATAGACGAGCACATAGCAGCGGCAGGAGCCGATTTGCTTATACCTCTCAGCAACGCAATTTGTGCTCGCACCGAAACAGATAGACAAACTCAGACGTACACAGACTATAATACGTCCGTTGCCCAGCCCGATCGAACGCTTGACTGTCCTGATAAATGCCGGTCCTACTCGGCCAGCAGCAGGAGTCGCAGGAACTGTCGCAGCTGCTAAGTCTCTACGATTGATGCAACAATCGCCAAATCACTAAAAGAGATCAATCAGGACGCTGTTGACCCTTTAAAGCGTTCTGTCCCAGTGTACGTGTGCACTGGCGTCCAATCAACCGTCGCATTAACAACAGGCGATAGATGGACAGACGGACACACGAA